CAGGATGTTCTGCTACAAATCATCTTAAGCAGGAAGTTGAGACCAGTTTTCCCAGCATTAACCAGCAGGATATGTAAGGCGTTCCATTCACTTTACATAAGTTACAGTAAGTGTTGAGTAATGAAAGTAATACCATTGGGTTACTTGGACAGACATCTCTTCTATTATGGCTTTATAAAGCTTGTTGTACTTTTTAACCTACATTTTGTGCTTTTCATTAATAAAGTCATAACGAAACAGATTATTCCCACACCTCTAATGAGCGAAAAGTGCCTTGAGTGCAGCAGTATTTTTCCTAAATATAATTTTCTACTCAAGTGGAATTTTTTGGGGTTTTTTTTTTCAGTGGTGAAGTTCCCGTCTCACTCAAACACTGTTTATCATTAAAGGTGTAAAGTTTAGGGATTTACGTGTGAAAATCTAAAGCTTTGATTCAGCATTAGTGTTTTTATTGTGCCTGTTTAGTACAATGCAGCTGGCATGTTAAACAACCTTGCTTTTAACAGTTTTGGAAATATTTAATGCCATGGGCGTTGCTAGGCATAAAGCCGTACTGGGGCACAGGAGAGGTAACGATTTTGCATAGGTACTATGTAACTACCCCGATATGCACCTTGTAAATACCCTGTAATCAGTCTTTATGTACCCCCGAAGGTACCCTTTAAGCACTGTGAAAGTACCTAAATAAATCTCCTGTACATATCTCTGTAAATACCTTGTATGTATTTTCCTAAATTCCCTGTAATCGTAATCCACCAGTAAGTAGATATATAGATACTTTATTGATCCCGAAGGAAATTATATGGCGATCTGTAGCTCTCATTCATCCAAACAATAAGATAAAACCACACCTGATTAAAAAAAAAAAAAAGAATATTAAAAAGCTCAATAAATAATTTAAAAACAACCTTAAGAGGAGATAAAGCAGCAACTATGTTATGGGACATAACCAGCTAGCTTTTCTGGTTCCTGCCAGGAGTGGCCGAATTATACAGCCTAATGGCACGAGGGACAAACGAGTTCTTTAGTCTCTCTGTAGAGCACCTCAGTGAATGGAGTCTGGAGCTCATTGAACTTCGCTGGTTAGAGAAGACAGAGTTCAAGGGGTGACCTTGATTGGACATGATCACCCTGATCTTGGAGCGCGTCCTCTGCTCCACCTTTTCCACAGAGTCAAGGCTCAGTCCCACCACAGAGCCCGCCTTCTTAATGAGCCGATTCAGCCTTAGGATGTCCTCCTTCCTAGTGCTGCCCCCCAACACACAACACCAAAAAAAAAAGTATACTGGACACTAGGGCATTAACGGAGTACTCGAGTAATCTACACATCGATTGCTAGGACATCTATCGAGGTTAAAAATGTAGCGTCGAATATCTGTAGTGACGTCATATTATGTGACCACCGTATGACCGTAGGGGGCGGTGTTGCACTGTTGCAGGTCACAGAGTATGGTGTAACACCGGGTCCAGTCCACCGAACCAGAACCAGCTTCGGTTTAAGTTTCGTTTTTGACGTGCTGCATGTTTCTTCACGTTTGCAGTTTAATAATAATAACTAATAGTTTAGTTTTTCCTGTGACTTATTTGCAGTATGATCAATGGTAGGAGCATAATATACGCTCCCAATGTTTTGTTGGTCTTTTCTTTTGTAAATAATTACCTTTTTTTGCTGTTTTATTTATTTATTTATTTTTGTATCTTGAGATCTATGACGTCATCAAATACTCGAGTTCTACTCGGGTTTTATTATGTTAATGTCGAGTTTAAAAATTATATACTCGTTCATCCCCTACTGGACACAATGGATTGGTAGAACACATGCAGTAACTTAGAGCAGACCCTGAAAGAGGCCAGCCTTCTGAGAAAGTACATTCTGCTCTGCCCCTTCTTGTACACAGCGTCCATATTGGCAGTCCCGTTCAGCTTGTTGTCCAGCTGTAGCCCCAGATACTTATAGGTTGGCACCACCTCAACCTCCGATCCATCAATAATGATGGGCTGCAGAAGGGGTGGAGCTCTACGGAAATCCAGCGCCACCTCTTTGGTTTTAGTGGCATTCAGCGAAAGCTGGTTCTGATGGGACCATCCAACAAAGTCCTTCACCAGGCCCCTGTACTCCCTGTCCTCCCCCTCCCTAATACATGCCACAATAGCAGTGTCATCAGAGAACTTCTGCATGTGGCATGTATCAGATTTGTACCGAAAGTACATATAAGAATATAATTTGTACCCCTTAAAAACCCTGTAAATAACCCCATACATACTTAGTAAATGCCTTGTATTTGACAATAATACATTTAGCCTTTACAAGGGTGTTGTTGAACTTTGTATTGCTGGTCAAGTACCAAGCAGCAGGACCACCTCCTTCAATTTTAAGCTGCAGTTACACTTCACCTTTTTAAAGTAGACTTGTTTTTTTCTTTTTTACACACTGCTACACTGAATATATATATATATATATATATATATATATATATATATATATATATAGACACTGCTATTCCGAAAAAAAAGCCTGCTGTGCAGGTTCACAACCTCATGACCAAAGTAAAGAAAATAAGCAAATCAAGCTGAGAGTGCATTCACTTCTATATGGAAGCACAGAGCTACAGATCATTGAGCAGAAAACATAATGTCCAGTGACAGCGAGCAGGCAGGAACCTGGCTGCAGATATAGTTCCGCCTGAGCTGTGTGGTAGAAACTGGCAGAGGAAAACTACTGAACCACCTCTGAAGCTTTTCAGCTTCAGATCGTCTATGTAAGCCTACAATTCTGGGTCACTGGTTCAGAGACTCTAAGGAACATAATCCAAACACGGGAATTATCCTGACGTGGTCCTCTATGGCAATGTGTCAGTCAAGCAGGAAAGGCAAGCCTTGCATAAAATAATAAATCAAAATTTCTATTCTTTTTTGTCCCCCATCGCAGAGCGAATGGGGAATTATAAATTGTCTCTGTCTGTCCATCTTGTGCGCTGGATAACTTGAAAAATAAATGAAATACCAACTTCCATTTTAGTATGTAGCATCTAAGCATAAGAATGTTCAATATCAATAATCGGGACGCCACATCAAAATCTAAGATGACAACTTCTATATACTGTAGTCCCTCGCTACAACGCGGTTCGTTTTTCGTGGACTTGCTCCATCGTGGTTTTTCAAAGTAAGATTGGACATGACACATAATTGGCTGATTGATGGATGAGCCACATGATTGCCATGGAATTTTTATTTTAAATAAATTATTTTAAATTATTTAGCACCAGCTATACTTGTGTGCAGCCCACAGCTGCAGAAAAAGCTTCCTCGCACATATGTGTGCAGCCCTAGTGTGTCAGATCTCTGCTTAGCAGCGGAGAAGTGAGCATAGCCGAGAGCACTGGCAGGTGGCAGAGTGCAGCTGGAGGCCGAGAGCTGAAATCATGACATTCTGTACTCTTTCAGAGTGTTTAGAGTTTAGAAAAATTGTTTAGAATATTGCAAGAGTATTGGAAGGTACTTCGCGGTTTTTCACTTATTGCGGGGCTTCAGGGTACGGATCCCCCGCATTAAACAAAGGACTACTGTATACATAAATGCAAACTGGCCACCCCGATCATTTGAAGAAATTAAACTTTCTAGTTTTTATATTGCTTACAAGTATAGTTTCCTCAAATTATTGGGGTGGCAGGTGGGATGGCCAAAGGCCATCATTGATCACCCCCTGGCTCCGCCAATGGGCCTGTTGGTGGATAAAATTATGATGTACACTTGCCGGGATCAGTCACTCTCTGTCACAAACAAAACAAATTTACCTCTGTTTTTACACACGGTGTAACTCCTACCCACTTGAATATCTTGCACCAAAGATTTTAAGGTTTACTTGCATTCCCTGTTCACTGCCAGTCCAGAGAGATACTCATCTTTAAAACTACAAAACATTCAATATTCAGATCCCTCAGGGATGGGGACGTTGGTGTACCACTTATTTACAGGGTCTGTATTCTTTCAACAGTTGGAACAACAACATTGATAAATGAAACTAGCGTTCCTTAAAGGAATCCATATCGCCCGCCTCATTGCGTGCCAACGTTTAAAACAATGACCTTGTGTGATCTGTTGGCGCTCAAAATATGTGATGAGGGTGACTCTCGGCTACTACCACACCAAATCTTAGCTCTATAGGTGTCAAATTAACTGTGGTATAGCCATGCATGAGTTTGTTATATTTGATCAGCTGTGGCAGCCATCTTGAATTGAGTTGACTCCAATAATAAATTGGTTGTAGATGTGCATCCAAAGATTTTTTGAGAGTTTCTTTATAATTCAATCATTAGTTCAAAAGATATTTTGATAGCAGACAAACAAAGGAGCACATTCACAGACACCAGCATTAACATCATTGCATGCTGATAAAAAATAAAAAAAAGTTCCTGAATTGAGCTTCCCCTTTCAACTCAGTCATCCCTGGTGGGTTGCAGAGGCCACCGTGGAGCCGTTAACTGCTGACTGACAAGCTGGAGGCAAGAGCTTGTTCAAAAAAAAGAAAAAACTTCTGTGTGCAAAAAAGAAAGCAGTATTCCTCCTGTTCTGGGCACAGTTTACCAAGTGCTTGCCAGTAGTTGGTTAGCGATGGCTGGATTTGATCCTCTGTGTAAACATAGACTTGATTTGAGTCTGTTTTATATTGTAATTGTGTGTTTTCATAAGGCTTGCTGTCTGCAGGGCAGAAGTCACCGTTTGCCAGTCGGTGACACAAGATTTTGATCAAATCCTGAAAGAGATGTCATGCTGTACACACAGTTGATTTAATCAGAATGCCGTCTCTCTCTTTGTCTCCGAGTTCATGACTTTCGGTCATGTTCAGAAGATCTTTTTGTTCCTTGGTTAACATAATCATTTAGGAGGATACAATGTAGGATTGTCAATCAAAACAACTAACTTTGAGTAAAGGTTGAATTATTATTATTTTTGTTTGTGTGGTAATTGTTCAAGCTATCTTTTCCTTTTTGTCTCCACAGGGCCCTCCAGGTCCAAAGGGTGATAAGGTGAGTCAAATTTTGTTGTTGATTTTGTTGGCAAATGTTTTACTTCTAAAATTGAGAATAATTGCTTTTTTGTCCTATTAAACTGGGCGATAACCCAGATCTGCACTATACATTACAATTCTGTTACACCTAATGTGTCACGGTCAGCAGGAAGCTTGGATCCAAGACATGAAGAGCTTGAAAGAAACAGCTAAAACTTTATTTTTATAAACAAAAAACAAAGAGCTGGAGGTAAGCACAGGGAGATGTGAGGAGGACCATAGATGGGACTAGAGCCAGTAATGCTCAACTGAAGATGGACTGAAAACAGACAGAGTACATGGTCTGAGGCCGATGGAGGGAGTGACTGCAGCTGTGACTAACTGGGGAGGAGCAACAGGTGAGGTGGATGTTGAAGGCTGATGGAGCAACTGAAACTAACTGAAGAGGTGTGAATGATGGCACAAGGAATACACACGACTCACAAAACCTAAACTAAACCATAAGACACAAGAAACTGTAAACAACCAAACAACAAACACATATTCTGACAAAGTGGGATCTTCTTAAAGAGATTTATCAATAAATTATATTATTCTACAGCTGTACCATACCACTTTATTTATAAAGCACTTAACAACAACAACAAGGCCAACCAAAGTGTTGCACAGCAAAGGCAAACAAGCAAAGGGCATAGCAACAAATACGTAGATCCACAGAGGTAAAGATAATGAGAACTAAATGGCTAACATTATAGAATACAGACGAGTTAAAATCAACAATGTCAAAAGCCAGAGAATAAAAGTGAGTTTTCAAACGAGACTTAATAAAAACAGTGAGAGAGGGAGTCTGCCAGTGGTAACTCATTCCACAGTCTTGGACCTGCAGCAGAGAAAGCCCTGTCACCTCTGAGGTTAAAACTAATGCCTGGAACTAATAAAAGCATCTGGTCTGCTGACCTCAGAGGGCATCATGGGGCATATGGCTGCAGCAGATCAGTGAGATTCTCTCTAATAATTCTAATTCTTATTAGCTTATCAACCGTGACATCAGTCCATCAGTCGTGAGTATGAAGGCTAGGCTAATGGCTAGCCAAACGTTCTCTTTCAGCTTTTCCCTCTTTAGGGGTTTCCACAGCGAGTCATCCTCCTCCATCTCGCTCTGTCCTCTGTACTGCAGCTACCTCCATGTCCTCTCTAACTGCATCCACAGATCTCTTCTGTCTTATTCCTGGCAGCTGCATTTCTAACATCCTTCTACCAATATATGCACGGTTCCTCCTCTGGACATGTTCAGACCATCTCAGTCTGGCCTCTCTAACTTTATCTCCCAGTTGTTCAACCTGTGCTGTACCTCAGATGATCTCACTTCTAACCTTATCCATCCTTGTCACTCCTAAATAACCTCAACATCGTCATTTCTTCCACTTTCAGTTCTTTCTCCTGTCTTTTTGTCAATGCCACTGTCTCCACACAAGGTCCTCATTTTTATCACTTTTTCAGACTAATAAAACAAGACTTTCTTTTAAAATGACATAGTGGTGTGAAAGATTGGTACATACGCTAATATTAAACCTCTACACTTTGGCATGCTGTCAATTGTTTAGTTTGCTGCTGTCCTCATAATCAAACATGTTTTACTGCACAAATGCATGTATATCTGAACCCATCAGTGCACCTGATCGTTGCACCTGTTAGCCAAAAGTTTACTCAACTCCCAATGAGCTGATCCATTCAGCAGCCACATTCACAGACATTGTTCAGTTACAAAGGTGAAATTTAGTTTTCCTAATTCTGGCTGGATTTAATTATTACCCATCAAGACAAAAACATTCCTTATCCTTGTTTTTTTTTTTTTAAGTATATTATGAATATTCTGCTTTTCTTTGAATTCAACTCCTTCTGACCTGAGGTTTGAACACTAAACTTGCTCTGCAGTGCATACATTCACACAGCACAGAGTGTTAAAACCCCACAGCTACCAAACTAAAACCACTTAAAGGCCTCACTGAGCGATGCTCCATAAAACAGAGGAGTCTGCAACAGACTGTTTCTGTACAAGTCTGAAGGACCAGGGGACAAACGAAGTGCATGTTTGTGGAATCACGCCAAAGATGATAAAAGTCCCTGTTTTTTTTTTATTTTTTCAATAAAATGGATTCATTGTGCAAGCCTTATGGGCTACTATTGAAGGCTAAGCCACAAATAGATGAAACTTTATCTATATTTTGTGTAAATTAAGTCACAACGTGGCTGATAAGTCAACACTGAAAACACGTTCTGTAAATGTCCAGAATGTGGATGGAAATAGCGTGAGAGATAACCAAAGCTTAAAGTCAAACAGAAAAACAGATGATCACAACTGTCATCCGGGCCAAACTGCCCTCTTTGGCAACTGATTATTTCTTGTAATGTGGGTGCAGACTGATGCTAGTTTTTGTTGACCGATGTCATAAATCAACAATGTATTTTCTTCCATTGTATACATTGTTCTCAAGAAAAATATGGCCTGAATAATGCCTGGCTCAAACAAGCAGATTTATTTGAATTTTTGACATCTATAATAACAACCATCCACAATACAATCTTATTGAGCCAGCCCGTGTCTGTGCCTCTCATCGAAACCACTTCAATCTGTTGTTTATTAGAGTTAAAAGCAACTTTGTGCATGCCTCCCACCCAAGAGGAATAAAGCATTAATTAATCACTGTGGCTGTTCGCAAATAGCTCTGTTTTAATTTGGTGTTGGCAAAATGGCCCAACGATAAATTAGGACAATTCCAAGAAGTGTTTCATTTGAGATCGTAAAAGGAATCGGAGCAAAGTTTCCATTTGTGTGCAATAATTTGTTTAGCCCCATTTAAATAATGTGATACAACCAACAGAAAGGGACAAATATTAATATTTTTTGTTTTAGATGGGTATTTAATTTACCTCATTTTGGAGAGCGTTCAAATTTAACCATACTGATGAGCAAATGGCTAGTCTGAGTTGAGACAAGACCAAAGTGGATTGCTGTTGTACTAAACACCTCCAACTTCAACAGTTTTATCAAAGTTCATCTGAACGCTGTTTTATAACTTTTTACATTATTGTCAACCTCACAATACCCTGATATTTACATGGAATTCTAGCCTTATTTACAAATACTAATGGTGGCAGCAGCAGCTAGCTGTACCACGTTCAGTGCAAGACTATCATGTTTCTACCAAAATAAACAGATGCTTATTTTCTGATAGAGTGGCATGGTGGCTCAATTGCTAGCATTGTCTCTCAGCAAGAAGGTCACCGGTTCAAATCTCGGGCCGGGACCTTTCAGGGTGGAGTTTGCATGTTCTCTCAGTGCATGTGTGGGTTTTCTTTGGGTACTCCGGTTTCCTCCCACAGATCAAAAACATGCCTGTTAGGCTGATTGAGAGTGAGAGTGAATGGTTGTTTGTCTCGTTTGTCTCTGTGATGGACTGGAGACCTGTCCAGGGTGTCCCCTGCCTCTCACACAGTGATTGATTGACATGGGCTCCTGTGACCCCCACGATTCAAAAAGGAAGAAGCAGGTCAATATAATGGATGGATGGATTATAATCTGATAATGGACCAAAAGTTTCTAAAGTAGCATTTATGTAAATTGTTTGGCTGCACAGTGGAGCAGTTGGTTAGCAGTGATGTCTTGTAGCAAACAAAGGTCCAGGGTTCAACTCCTAACTGGGGCCTACTGCATGTAGTTTGCATGTTCTCTCCATGTATGTGTGGCTTTTATTCAGGTACTTTCCTCCCAAACACTAAAAACGTGCAAGTTAGGCTAATTGGAAACTCTAAGTTGACCCCAAGTGTGGAGGGATGATCGTCTCTGTGTGGGAGGGAGTGGTGGCGCAGAGGTTAGAGAAGGTGAGCTTGTGATCGGAAGATCACCGGTTCAACTTCTGGTACCGACAACATCAAAATATGGGTGAGATAGATGAAGCACTCACACCTTCCTCCATCCTCATTTGTCCCACTCTGGGCCCTTGAGCAAGGCCCTTAACCCCCACCATCTGCTTCTCCAGGTGCCCTAGATGGCAGCTCTCTGCTCTACACAGAGCTGTGGTGCTCGGCGGTCTGTGGTTGCGTCAGGAAGGGCCTCCAGCGTAAAACAGTCACCAAGTCTTCGTGTGACTTGGTCCGCTGTGGTGACCCCTGAAGAAGGAAGACAAAAATAAAAAGATTGTCTTGGTGTGGCTCTGTTGTGACACTACGTTTTGTTGTGTTTGTAGTTTGAGTTTTGTTTTTATATTTATTAGTCCTACATTTTCTTGTTTTTGAGATTTCATTGCCTTCCTCAGTTTTCCTGGTACCAACTCTGCAGCATCTATCCTTCAGATGCTTGTCAGCCCCAGCTGCACTGTCTCAGTAATCGCCCCTCCCAGCATACAGTCTATACATAAACTCCATGGTTTCTCATGTCACTCGTTTAACTCCACTGTTTGCTTCCTGTTCTCATGTCCTGTTACAACCACAGGTTTTAGATACGCGTTATGTTTCTGGTTGTTTAGTTTGTAGCTTTTGATTTGTTGAGTAGTTTTGTTATTTTTGCTGCCACACCTGCGTTTTTCTTTAATAAAGGTTTCAGTTTTAGTTCCGATTCTGTTTCTGTTGCCAAAGTTTTGAGTTTGCCAAACATGTTAATTGACAGACCTGTCTTTGGTGTACTTTGCTTTTTGCCCAGTTGTTGCTGGAGATAGGAAACCAGTCCTTGTGACCCTGCACAGGATCAAGCAGTGTATTGAAAATGTTTCATCTGTTGTGAAATGTTTAACACATCCACTTTTATCTTGGCCCCAGTCAGACTAGCTGTCGGCTCGTCAGTCTAGTCAGAATTAAATTCTATCTACAACTGGTAAGATATTAACTGTTCATGACCTTCCCACAGAACCCCAATTCAAAAAGACCTGAATTATTTATTTCATCCAAATTAGACAGATTAGGGCTATAATTCACTTTCTAACATTCGGTTTTCCTTCACCTACTTCAAACGAAAGTGTGCTTACGTTTGGGGTTCACACAGATGTAACAAAGCCACATCTTTCTCACGAAGATTGATTTGAAACCAAACATTTTAACCTTCAGAACTGCGCACTCTCGCTCACTCCAGACATTTACCCTCCAAATAAAAAAATACAAAAAACGGCAAAAAGCCAAAGATCTCTGGGGGCACAAAATCTGGCATGAATCTGGTTCTCCCGCCTCCCTCTCACCAAACCCAACAAACCTCACACCGCTGCTCGCTGTCTTTCTCCTCCTCCAGTACCCAGCTCATGTCATTCCATCTTATTTTAAGTGATTTTACTTTCAACCACAATGAATAGTTGTGGGTTCCTGTATTATTTGACTCTATCTGTATGTTCTGAATTAGGCCGGAGTACTTTAGAGTCTCAGCTGCGTGTTTTAGCCTCATGTTTAGAGCTAAATTCTGCTTTTTTTTCTTCTTCTTCTTCTTTGTCTGCAGGGGGATCAAGGTGACCAAGGACCTCGGGTATGTGGTTTGCTGTGATTTCTGGTGATTTGCAGATCTATGTGACTGTGTGAGTGTTTGTGTGTGTGTCTCCCCCAGCTGAATTGTGGCCTAAAGGTTTGAAATGCATGAAATTCCTGGGATAGAGTTCCCCCGATGTGGCCAAACACAACAAGCATCTCCGCACTGCCTCTTTCTCCATCAACAATGAATAGACAGAATTGTGAGATACTTTAGAAGAGTTGGACGGGTGGACTTCTCAAAATGCAGAAACCGATTTTTTTTACTCCCTCAAAATGAATGATCTTCTAGAAAACTCAGCTCTGTCTTTAAAACTACTCGTAATTAATTAGAACCCTCGGCGTGACGTGGCACATTCACCACTTCAATAATTTTCAGCTCTGTATTCTAACATTTCTATCAAAGTGCCACAATTAAATGATGCTAATGTGAGTTCTTTACACACTGAAATGAATTAGTCCATCTCCGCTCAGAAGTTGGACCTTTTTTTTTCTTCCTCCAGTAATGGGTAAAAAATTGAGCAGTCATTTTGAAAAACCGGCTGCACGGTTTTGTTTAAAGTAGACTGCATTAAGAGGGTCGCATCGTGCACACACTTTCACTTCCTCTATGTCTGCTGTTGTTCATCAAGGCTGGGTTGGATAGAAGTCAAAGTCGCTTTGAGTGCCTGTAATTGATTTATAATGGACCGAGGAGCGCACAGAGGTTGCCACACAAGACAAAGCAAGTCTAAAACGCAGTTCTTGTCACTGGAACTTCAGCCACCTCTCGGGAGGGGGGGTGGGGTCTGATCCCAAACCGGTGCTGGCGCCCACCCAGACATGAGTCGTTCGAACTTCTCCAGGCGAGTTGCACCAGATTTTATGATTTGAGTTGGAACAAATGACCCTTTCTGTGAAATTCAATTAGTGGTCTCCAAGTAATACGGGTAACGTTTCGCTTAGACATGCTTTCTCCCAGCAGCCAACCTCGGGGATTAGGTTTTCCTGAGTAATTTCTCACTTTCCCAACGTCTACCAACACGCTTTGAACTCTCTGGTAATTTTCAGCGGTGTGAAAAAGTGTTGTATAATCATTTTAGTAAAAAAACACACGGATAAAATCAACCCAAAGTTAATTTTTGGGTGATTTTCTTTTACATTGAGCCACTCTCTATTTGTAAAATACTTGGAAACACAACACCATGGTCAACAGTGTAAAGTATCTATCTAGATATATATTGCCTTCCAAAGTAAATACACTATCCATTTGAAAATTGTGTTTCATTAAGTTCGAATTACCACAAAATTGTCCCCTAATGGGTACGAATTAACACACGGTGTTACCATCGCATATGAAGGACTTCAGGCATGAAGGCAACGTAGGTCACCCCCAAATTGTATTAGTTTCACAGACTAGCATATTGACTTTGCACATTAGCTTAAGTGAGGAAATGTTGTGGAACCATAGAAGGATTTTACCTAATAATAAATGAAGTCGCAACTGGACAAGTGGTGCCTGACCTTCAATCTGCCTGTCTGGAAGTGACGTTCGTTTCAGGACTTGTATCGACGCACCCCTGGAGTTGATTAGACTCGTATGGAAAGGAGCTATCACCAATGTGGCATCGCAGGATAATCTCCTCGATGCACCATCAGGCTCGAGCCGCAGTACATCAAATCTAAACCAGATTGATTTAGAAAGGCGTCTATCGTGGTCAAAACATGGTTAAAGAACGCTTCCCCAGCCTGTTGCCCACATGTTAGGGTCAGACATTTGGCTGCCTTAAAGGTCACAGGTCATGTCCATATATGTGGGGTTACTCAAGCAGCAAATAATAAATTGGCCTCTTTTGACAAACAAATACATCGGCCACCACCAGAGCTGCTGAGCGTACTGGATACAGGCATGAACACAGAAAGGTGTGTGGTCTGTTTGAGTGATTGCACCATAACTACGGCTGTCGAGCAAAGTTCAGAGAATTGGCTTCATCTGAGGGAAACTGTCCTGATTTCTTCCTCACAAAAATGTCATTAATTGTTCAGTTTGTCCTGTATCGTGGTGTATGGCAGTTTGAAATATTTCTCCAATATCAAGAAGGCGTGATTATGCAATTTCCATGATTTGATTGTGAACGAAAACATACAATTGACTGCAAGCTTTTGATACTAAACTGAAATAAATTTAACTGCGATACGTTTAATACATCAAATAGCTCTTGTACCTGAGGCTTTACAAGTGTAGCATTAAAAGTTCATTTAACTCATTCAAAAAGGGCCTCCGACTGTAGTGTCTTATAGTGAGGTTTAAAGTCCAGGATCCAGCCAGTGTCCAATTACAGCTGACGCTGATTGTTCTCATAGCTGACATTTTGTTTACTACATACCAGGTCCCTTCGCTGCAGGCGAATACACAGCAATAAAGCTCCCCACCAAATAACCGACATCCGTTTGCAGAGAAAAGCAAATAAAAGCAGAATGTAAACGGTTCGGTTGTTCTGTCAGCCACAATGTTATTATCATTCTTACACATGAACATCAGCATTGAAGCAATATGGAGAGGGGCTATTATCTTTTACTCCTTCCACATTTCAAACCCACACTGGTCGGTGAGATCGTCAGCAAAATCTTTTGACCGTCTCACAATTTTCTTCCATAGTTTCTTGTTGCGTGGATCTCAAAAAGCTTGCAACAGCAAAATATGTATTCCATGCAGCTCCTGCCAGGAGTTATTGTATCGTCTGCTCCCTTAATGATAATCCAGCGCTTGTTTTTCCCTCTTTGTCTTCAAAATGTTTGAGGTTGTATATAACTTGAGAAATACTTGCGCTTCAATCCCAGTTGCACACAAAACAGCTATTGTCTCCTGTGTATCCACTGCGCTGTTCTGCTGTGGGCATGGATCAAAACAGGCTGCCTTGAAAGTCCTATTCTTAATGAGCCATGCTTTTTGAATTATGTTTGAAAAAACAGACAAATGGCACAAAAGCCATGTTTGGATAGACCAGATTTTATCTTCATCTTGACTATAGATGAAGATTGATCTCTCACGGGGCATGTTTATGACTGCCTGCCAGTAGTGAAGAAGTGCTTTTATCAGTCCATTCAGTTTTCAGTCATGTTGGATATTTGTGGTGGAGTGAACCTACAGCATAACATTAACGAAGAGAACATGTGATCATTATAAAACTGAAGTTGTGCAATCTTTTCTTGGTCTGTAATTGTGCAACTAGAACAATATTGAATTTTATTTAAAGTGGGATCCAGTACAATCAAGCACTTTCATTTTTAAAAATAAATTTAAATATGAACAAATAAATCTTTTTAAAATGTTTTTTTTAGCTTGTGCTACTTATTCTTCTTTGAACTGGACGATCAGATTGGCAACCTGTTTTTAAAAAAGTACGGAGCTGTCCCGTAATTGAAACAAAATACTTAAGCATCGTAAAGCTAACCTCGTTCAGTTTTCCTTCTATTGTACAATAAAAACTTATGATTTTTAAATTAGACTATGTTCAAATACATTAAAACACTTCAATTTTCTAAAATATAATTGTGTGTAAAGAACAGTTCGTCTAAAACGAGGAGTTTTGCTAAACATTTCACTAGCTTGCGCTACATGCTAACCATCGAGGAAATGAACGTTTAAATATTGACGATTACACTGTGAGAAAAGTCAATATATTTGTTTAGTGGAACTTGAAACTGTACAAGGTAACTAGCAAAACAACCTCAAACATTTTGAAGACCCTTGTTAAAGTTTGGAACTGTCGTGTAATTAAATAGTTGAAGCAAAGATCGTCAAAAAGCTAAAGCTAAGCAGTTTTTCTCCTGGTCTTTATTTTCTACTGTGTAATTGGAACTAGTGTTTGATTTTCAGAATATACGGTGCGCAAAAATTAAATAAAAAACCCTCTTCTAAAATATATGGTAATTGAATTTGACAAAAGCAAATACTTTAAAACGCAGTTTTGCTAAACACTTTATTAGCTAGTGCTGCATCATGCTAAACACTGAGAAAAGAAACTTATATAATGTAATATTACACTGCACATATAATCTATATTTTTGTTTAGTGAACATTGTAACACCGAAAGTTAGTTAGCTAAACATGAGCTGAAGCCTGGTGCTAAAATAAAGAACTGTCCTGTGATCAAAAATAACTGTGATCTTCATGGAGCTAACATCGTACAATCTTTTCATGGTCTTTTCTTTCTACTGGAACTAAGATGAACTAATTTTAATATTAGACCATTCAAATAAAATAAAACATATTATCAAAAATAGAATAAGCTGTGACAAAAGCAAAGTTTTTCTAAACAATGTGTTTTACTGAGCACAGCACTAGCATTAGCAGTGCATTAGCGCTCAAGTTTATCAAGCCTTGCTTGGTAAACTTTTCTACATGGGAGTAAGGCAAACAATACACATTTGTTGGGCAGTTGATTGAACGTGTGTCTTGCTATTACAATAAGAATAAAAAAGCAAAGTTAAAATATATTTATTGATTAATCGCTAGAGAATAATTAAAGTTATTTTGGTGCGTTTGTTTCCCAATGCCATTCAAAAACCCTGTTAAGTGCACCAAATATCTTCATTTCTGGGTTCTGAATAAGTATACCATTCAACTGTAAACCCCGTTTCCTTCCATCAGGGAGAAAATCAATGCTTTAACATGTCATTCAGTTTTCATGACTGGGTAACATCTGTCAGGAAGTTTGTGGAATCGCAATGGAGGAAATTTGATTGAATTTCCATTAAACATCCCCATCTGCTGATCTTTACTGAAGCTCAACGAGAGCAATATTACTTCTTAATCTACCAGCATGTCATAAGTCAGAGTGCATTCATCATCTCAAGACTGTTTTTTTATAAATGTAATTTTATAAAGAGGAAGGGTTACACTTATTGTCTAGTGGAGACCGACCCTCCTTTAGTGAGGCTACCATAGTGCTCAGTAAGACACGAAGCTTTAATGACACAGAGGCTGTTTAAATTTTAGGGACGCGTACAAAATAATTACTAAATATTTATGAACAGTCGAGGTAAATTAATTAACGGGTTTTAAATGCTGCTGGCGCCTGCTTTTCTTGCACTGCGAGAAGTGCAGAAAAATGGTTGGGAGCCACCTGTCTATGATGGTCAACAGACACAGTTTCTCTGATGACAGTAAAATTAATTTGAAAAGTTGTGGGAGTAAAAACTATTTTTGAGCTGAATTGAAATGTCTGCTCCTTGACTCATTCGCCAAAGCTTCTCCTCACACGAGTTGTTCCACAAATGATTGTTTGCTACTAGAAACAGAATGATTGTCGTCATCTTCCTTTGTCTGTTTTTATTTATTTATTTTTTTTAGTTCTCCCAGTGTTTGAATGTTGTGTGTCTTGTGCCATGTTCTGCTTGTTTGTCCCTTCAGGGATTGCCTGGCCCCCCTACGCTGGCTGCTTTGCACACCAATCAGATCCTGGGTGTCAAGGTTTGTCTGCTGTGGTGCAGCCTGGCTGCTGGGTCCGACCCCTCCGCAGCACACACTGGGACTCAATGAATCACTGTCGGCTGCTTTCCTTAAAGCCTGATGATGGAGTGTGCACAGGAAAACCCTCATATAATCAGTCACACCCACTCAATAGTTATCCTCTTTCCTGCCGCCACTACCAATCTTTCACTTAGGTGATTTTTGTTTCATTTCACATATTGAGCCTTCTACTGAAGGCCTTGTACAGCCCTGTAAAACGTAGTTAACTGAAACAAGAATCGGTGTTCAGAAACCAGGACATGGTCTGGCTCCTGTCCATTGTCGATGAAATGAAGCGGAAGGCGCTCTAAAGGGAATTCTCAATGGTGACCAAAATTAGCAAAGATGTTGCACCCATGGTTCGCCACTAATCCTTCAAACCGCCAAACTGGTCATTAAAATTGTTTCAGCGGTGAAACAACCAAACGCCAATGGGTGCTTACTGAATAATACAGGCATTGAAAGAAATGGAAGGTAAGGCAAAGGAACCGGTCTTAACTCAGAAAGTTGACCAGCGGTTGTCTCGGTGTGTGCAGCTCTCAGGGTCTGACTTGGCAGCAGGCACGGTGATGACGACGGTGCTTTCACAGATGAGGAGTAAATCCCACTTTTCCGGTGGGGACTCTAAATCCATTGTGGTACATTCACACCCCAGAGGTGGTAATTATGGGCCCCGAGTCCAGAGTAAGTAAGCAGTGTAAGGAAGTGTACTGGCATCTGAAGCAAACCACCTCAGTGGAGGAGAAGGGTGGATTCTCCATCTGTCTGTGAAGGCACTCGTCTGGGGTTTCATGAACACGGTGCTTTCTAACAAAATCTGTTTCTTTTTGCATTTGGCTTCTCCTCCTCCTCCTGCTTCTTCTTCTGGGACCTTCTCCTCCTTCAACCTTCTCTCACCTTTGACCTCCGGCTTCTTGACCTCACACACCTGCTCAGATGGTCTTCCCAAAGATAAATCATGGCTTTCTTTCCGCTGACCAGCAGCTCATAAAGCGACGACTCATTAAGGTAGTAATGGGTGTGTCCTCTCTCGTTTCTTTGTCCAACGTGCCAGGTTTCGCCAAATCATTTCTCTCTGGCCAGTGCATGCAAGCCTGCAGATGTCGTACGTGCTGCTGATCATTTAACAGGAAATGCCCTTAAAGCAGTCAATCATATCATTTTAATGTGGTTCTGTGAGAAAGGTTGTAAATAGCTATTTGAACCACATCAGTTTGGATACATAAAGTATAATTCTGACAGGGTTGACAAGCTACTAGCAGGTCCAATCGCGTCCAGAACAAAATGATTTTTTGCCATCTTGAAATGTCTCCAATCTAGTTTTTCATTACTCTATTCATTACATAGAACTCAATGTTTGTGGAGACCAGTGGTCCCCAATTCTGGTCCTTAAGGGCCACTACCCTGCATGTTTTATGTTTCTCTGCTTCAACACACCAGAAGCAGAACTTGAAGACCTGCTGAGGAGGTGAGAAACAACGAAAACCTACAGGATATTGGTCCACTAGAACCAGGATTGGGGACCACTAATGTAGACCATCAGTCACTTAGGACATGACAATCCTAAAACTTTTTTTGTTTGTTTTGTTTTGTGAGGAGGTTTTGCTTCTTCTCTAAGATTTCTCAGTTCCACCTAAAAAGTGCAAAGTTCCAAGATCTAAAACTATACTAAGCTGCTTCATTTGTGTGAGCTGAACTCGCGTGCAAATCACTCTCCCTCACCTCTTTGCTAAGGATTCTTAGGGTCTTTGGAGCGAGATGACTTAAAAAAGCAAGAAAATTAGTTATTTTTTATAAATAAAAAAGTCAAATTGTAGAAGAAGAAACTGTACAACTTTGATATTTTGAACCACTTTGGCCATGACTGCATCAAAAATTCGACAGGGGAGAGGGCGGACTCCAGAAACCATGTTAGTACCATCAAAATGGTTGATCCACTATGTAAGGCGCTATTTACAAAATTGAGTTTGTTGTGGCTCCTCGGACTGAAGAAATCTTTTGGATGAAAGGCGAAACGTTTCAACACAAAGAAACCGTCCAAAGGACCTGACTTAACTTTGGTGGATGCATCTACCTGAATTATTGAGCATGAACTTTGAAATCTACGTCACTGTGCTAACTCAAATAGTGCCACGGTCGTCAGTTGGCAGAAATCCAATTTGGTCTTGGTCATCGGACTAACCATTAGCTTGTCGATTCAGTCAGATACTGAAGTTGTTCAAACAGCCAACAGATCTGAACTTTTAGTTGAACAGAGGCTTTTTAAAGTTGAAAAATTACCGTCTCAGAACTGGTCAAAGGACTTCTGAACATTAGATTTCTGTAAATTTTCTCAGAACGTCTTGACATCCAGTACAAACACGGACCACACATTTTCCCCCTGATTAATAAAACCAAATGTAACTTATTTCGATGCTCAGTCCAGTTAGGATTGCATGCATTTTAAAGGATTAATACTTCAGCTATAAACCTCCACATCTTCTCTTTACTTGTTTATATTAGCTCCATATTCTCCTCATTATGAATGGAGGGCGGCCACAGCCACCCAGGAGATCACTGCTCTGCTCTATTTATCATTGGCCAACTGTAGTTTCTTTGGTCCGCGTGGATCCAATAACATCCCATCAGAATGATGCAGAAATGTGCTCTTTCGCCACACAGGGAGATCAGGGTCAAGCGGGACCACCCGGGCCTCCAGGGCCACCTGGCCCTCCTGGACCAAGAGGCCCTCCTGGGGACACCGGAAAGGATGGACCCAGAGGTCTGCCAGGTCTACCCGTGAGTCCTGCAAATGAACTAATTCATCTTTTTTATGTCTTTAAAATGCAACTGGATCTGCAAAATTCATGGGATACGTCATTTGAAAATGACATTTTTCTTAAGTACAGCTCAGAATTTTTAATTTAACTTATTGCTTTGAAGGTTAATGCCAATAAAAACATATTTTTGAAGCTCCCTGATGAGGTAACGCTAATCTTCCTAAAATAATGTTTGATTGTACCAATTCAAACTTGCATGACAAGGTTTTCTTTTTTTAATTTAACATGTTTTTCATGTCTTTGCGCCTGGCTCTGGCGTCTTGCATATTTATCTCAGCTTGTAGGGCAAGAAGTAATAAGAAAAAGCTTCTCAATCGTGTTCAGCCATAAAACCTTCTGTGGGCTCCAGCTGATCTTTACTGCTTTGGCAGTGATCGCAGTCGAAGAGGAAAAATATGAGGAGTTGTTTATGTGGTTCTGTCCAACTTCTTATTATTGTTTTTGTTTTACGACTGTTTTTAGTTCCTCGTCAAGAAGTTGCTAAAGTTGTTAAAGTTTTCCAAGAAGTTGCACTTCTTACCTTTTTTCGTTTTATTTTTTATTTTTTCTTGTTGTGAACATCTCACAAGGAGGGCAAGATTTATCCCATGGATTTTGCAAATATGTAAAAATGTAAAGGCATATGTCACAACGCTGCACCAAGACACGAGCCGGGTTTGAAGCAAAGGCAGAAACTAGAATGAGGCTGTTGGACAGGGACGGTGGAGGGGAACATGAGGTCCAGCAGAACAAAAACCTCTCAAACTACTGAGATAATGACAAAAAGGAGATTCTTGTTACCTTATTTTTTTTATTGATATTAAAACTGTTTGGATTTTCTAATCATCAAACTATTTTAGCCCTAAGGGTTTGTTTTGTTGTCTTTTTTTAGGGTGATCCAGGGCAGTTGGGAGAAACAGGACCCATGGTGAGAACAAGTTTTTATCCCTTTTTTTATACCAATAAAATATGAAACAAATTGGTTTATTTTGCTTTGTGTCATAAATATAACAATTTAATATTTATGCACATTGGATTTTGAGAAAAGGTTTTACCTAATTTCATTTGTGTTCAGTGTATGCACAGTGGCGGAACTAGACTTTTATGTAGAGGGGCCCAAAGGGGGGAGCAAAGGCTTTTTCAGGGGGGCACATACACATCCCGTTTCCTGATCTTGGTACATAAGGAACATACTTTTCTTTTTTTTTTATTTTTATAAACGTCATAACTCAAATGCATTTCTTTATTTATCAACCTGTCTCAGTTGCTGTCTCTTCTACACCCCCCCCCCCACACACACACACACACACACACACACACACAAACAAGATATCGTAGTCATCCTCAAGGCACAGAATCCCCTCTTTACACAAAAAATATGACTCAGAAATTGGTAATACTTTCAGCAAACTCTGGCATACAGCAGATTTAAGAGTGAAATATACTGCTTTTACTAAAATAATTGTATATGTTATTATATGTTTGTGTTTTTACAAAAAGCACATGCAAACGAATAATTGTGTCCTCTTTTACTCTTATTGCGCAACTTTCAATGCCACTTATGGTGGCATGTCAATCACCTGGGTGGCCAATCAGGTTCCAGTCCACTCCTCTGGCTCCGCCCCTGCATACGTACCAACAGAAAAGCACCCCCTCTGTGAAAGGCACCCCCAATGTCATAACATTGATAAGATGTTTTCAATCACTGAATATGTGACAAAAGTTAAGCAACAAATTAAACCACACAGTCATCTGCAAAAAGGAAATGGTGTATAAAGTTTATTCACAGTAGTCCTTTCGTGTAATTATTGGGGTGTTTTTAGGGTGGTCATAGTTAATGTTAATGACACATTTTATGGTAACCAGAGAAACATTTTCTCTCACAAACTCCCAACATGAGGGACCAACCACACTCCAGTTAACAGTAAATTAATGCTCCCTGCGGTGCTCAGCAAATAAAGCTTTTGATTAGAGTTTCCTCATAAAAAGCGACATTGAAAAGGTCAGAACAAACTCCAGGGGAAAGAAATAACAGGAGAAAATCACACGGTGCTGTAAGATTCCACAAATGAAGTGGATGAAACCGGGATCGAGACTGGAAGTACTTTAGAGAACTTTAATTTCCGAATCCATCCATCCATTATGAAGGTGTTGAGAAACGAAGAAACGCATGACTGAAAGTGTTTGTTGGATTTGATATGTTTCATTTTACTTCGTGCTCAGACAATAGCAAAACAGCAGCACAATTAGGTTTTGAAATTTGCTGTCATGAATGTAAAACTTACAAAGAATGTTCCTAGGTCGACACGAGCCCACATTAGAGTCTAACTTTGAGCAAAAATATCAGTTTCGTTGCACCTCTGTGTGATGGCGGTAGCGGAGAGCTACGTTACAAATGCTACGTCTGAGTGGAGCTGCTTTAATCTCTGCTCTCCATCTAGAAGTGGCAGAGCTGTTTGCATGGGGTGGGGGTGGACATTTAGTAGGCGGGGCTTTTGGTTCTGTTGATAGGGCGGGGCACCCTCCTTGGGTAATACTAGGGGAAACTTATCAGCTGTGACATCAGTCATAGAGCACAGTGTGGGGGGGGGAGGCTGTTTTTACTTAGGCTAAGGTTGAGCCCCCTCCTGTTTACTCTGCTCACGTATGATTGTGCAGCTACCCATCCAGGCTGTCACATTGTAAAGTTTGCAGATGATACAGCGGTGGTGGGATGCATCACAAACAATGATGAGTCCAGCTACAGGCAGGAGGTGGAACACCTGGAGAGCTGGTGCAGAGAGAATAACCTTCACATCAATGTGAAGAAGACAAAGGAGATGATTGTGGACTTCAGAAGGAACAAAAACACCTACACCCCCCTGAACATAAGAGGATCTGCGGTGGAAGTGGTCTCCAGCTACAAGTACTTGGGTGTACACATGAATGACAACCTCAGCTGGAGCAACAACACCACCAGCCTGATCAAGAAAGCTCATCAGAGACTCTACTTCCTCAGACGGCTGAGGCGAGCTGGTCTGGGAAGCTCAGTCCTCACCTCCTTCTACAGGTGTGCAGTGGAGAGCATCCTGTGCTCGAGCATCAATGTGTGGCATGGAGGCTGCACAGCTGCAGAAAGAAAAGCTTTGCAGAGAGTGGTGAAGGCTGCACAGAAATCTGTTTGAGTCAGTCTCCCCACCATCACAGACATCTACACCTCCAGATGCAGGAAGAGGGCCACCTGCATCATGAAGGACCCCACCCACCCAGCACACACACTTTTTGCCCCACTCCCCTCAGGAAGGAGGTTAAGGAGCATTAAGTGTAGAACCACTAGACTGAGGAACAGCTTCTACCCTGAGGCTGTTAGACTCATGAATCTCTAACTAGAATAATCACTGTGAAAAACCATATCATGTTGCTGCTGATCTGTTTCATGTTGCTGCTGATCTGTTTCAATGTTGATGTGTTCATGCGTGCACATCTGCTCACAGACTCATGTTCATGTTTGTGCTGATGTTCAATGTTTTATGTTATGAGTGCTTAGTGTATATTTAGTTGATGTTTTTCTTAGTTCATATCTTAGATGTTATTACTGTTTTTCTTATACATTTTATTGTTGGATGTAACTGGGACCCTGTGTACATAATTTCGCTCCACCACATGTACCACATGAGGTGCGAATGACAATAAAGAAACTCTGACTCTCTGACTCTGACTAAACAAACGGCTAGCTAAACGAGCACCAGTCGTTTTGAACATGCATACATTTGTGTAGTAGGACGAACATTGTGTGACTGAGACAACATCAACAAACTAAACAAACTGTGTCATGCAATAAATGTATTTTATTTTATTTTTTGACAGAGTCGTTCTTTATATCCTAAAAGCAGTATGAAATGGGTTCTGGTTACGCTAACTATTAGCCAAGCCTGGATGAAGACGTCTCCTATTTTCTCCACATTGCGCATTTTGACTGATCTCATGACTGAGAAGTTACAAACTATTGATAACTATTTGAACGGACATCACTTTAGAAATGACAAGACTATTGAAAATGAAGACAAAAAGTTCTGGCTCCACCGGTAAACAAACCCATGACCCAGTTGGGCTTTTCACACACCCGTCGAAAGGCAGACGTTTTATAGTATAGTCTCAACTGCCCGACCTTAAACTTCTTATTTTGTCCCACCCATAAGTTTTGATCCGCTCGAGATAATTTAATAAAACATCATACACATTAGCCTCATCACTAGATGGAGTGTCATGTACACTTTTCATTTCCTAACTTGAGTGTCAAGGTCAAAAGTCAAGGACAAAGTTGAATCTTTCTTAGTCCAGACCATAACTTCTGATCGTCAAGATAATTTGACAAAACTTGACGATTTGCACAATCTTTGCATCGCTCCAGCTCTCGGCTCAAGGTCACAAATCAGAATCAAAGGTTATACAATGTCTTTGCTTGTCCAGGCCGTTGCTATAGATTGCTGTATAACAGTTTGTCCACGGGTGTAGAACAGTAGGCAGACTTGTTTTGCTTCCATAAACGTTGCAGTTGATCTTTTTCAACAAAAGGAATAGTTTAGGGGAATCCCTGACTTTCAGCTATCATACACAGCTGCCTGCCTTCATTCCACAATTTCATACCACCTTATGTACCACATGTGAAGCGAATGACAATACCTTGAACCTTGACAGCTCACAGGAACAAGTACGGGTAGAATGAGTTGTGTTTTTACCACAGGATTCCTTAAAACTACAGTATACCTTGAAAACAGGAACCAACCCATACTTATTCCTTCATGTTTTTTTTTTCTTTAGTGCTTTTTCAGATGCTTGGGACAAGCAGCAGCTGGAGTCTGTCTCCAACAAACAAATGATGAGCTCAGCCAGAGCTTTGAGCTGAAACAATCACTGCTCCCCTTCATTCTCAAAATAAAGCTCACCATTACATGAGCACAAACACGGCAACTCCTGACACTGATGGACTTTTAAAAAGGAACAATGTGATCATCTGGAAGTGAACCTCCCTCTGTAAAACAGCGAGAGATCAGCATGAAGCAGCTGCTGTTAGCCTTTACAACGTCAGAACTTCGTTTTTCAGCCAAAAGCTGATTGTCGGCTACCATTTTAGGAAAATAAACAAAGATGAGATTTTGGATTAGCTGTAGACCTCTGTATAGACTTGTCCACCTCAGATTAGATTAGAAAAATAAACTCATCACACTGGAACACACACCAAGTCCACACTTACTGTATATTCCTTTTTTATATAAAGGCCTCAAAGGAATGCATATCTCCCGCTGTCTTTTATGCCAGAGTTTTAAACTAAGATTATCTTATGCTATGAATGGATGTAATGCTCTTGAGTTTATGTTGTGAATGACAACTTGGAGTGACTCCCAAACTTAATCAGTTGTAGCTGTGCTTTCAGTGATTACTACTTCAAACTTCATTAACATCAAGTCAGTGGTTCATGAGATATTTTGCTAACACACAAACGTAGTTGACTCCCAACAGTTAATAGCAAAGTTTAAAAAGAAAAAGGGGTTTTGCGCAATTGTTTGGAGTTCAAAGTAAATGTTCGGAGATGACTCTTGGCTACTACCACGCCAAATTTTAGCTCCATATCTGTAAAACTGTCTTGAGTTGTAGCCGCTCTTCTCTTTGCTGTATTTGCTTAGCTGTGGAGGCCTTCTTGAATGGGCTTGACTCGAAAAGTAAGTTAGTCATAGACGTGCATCCAATTCAATTCAATTTATTTATATAGCACCAAGTCACAACAGAAGTTGTCTCAGGGCACTGTACAAAAACATTCACATACATTAAAAACCAAATTAGTAAAATATCCTGATGCATGCTCATATAATTAGTAAAAGTTTAGTAAATTAGTAAAAGTTCTCTACCTAAGGACGGCTGGCAGCACGACGGCTCAGTGGTTAGCACTGT